GCAATGCTTCATGCAACTTGTCTCGCAAAGATTTTGACCATTGCAAGGCATGTTAAACGGTGCAATGACTCGTGCAACTTGTCTCGCAACGCCATTGCGAGACAAGTTGCATGAAAAATTGCACCGTGTAACACGGCCTTAACTCACGAATTTATTGATAACTTAAGATGTTGGCCAAAAATGGGAGTACCATTAGAAAAATAATGGGGGGGGGGGAGCAAAATTAAAAATTGCACGGGGAAACAGAAAGAAAATACAGTATATCGTGCACTAAAACAGTTTGAACAAAAAAACTTCGTGCAAGGACTTTTCAATGGGGAAAATTATAAGTTGAAATAAAAAAGGATTATATCTAAGCAAATTATCGACACAAACAAAAAATTTAAAAAAAAATTCGTACAAGTTGAAAAAGTCTCCCCCCCCCCCCAATCATATTTCTAATGGTTCTCTCTTATCATTTATGCATAGTTTATTTAATTGCGTTGTATCAATTATTTTCGCAAAAACGACAAACATTTAAACAAATTTAGCTTTAAAATCACCCTAACAAGGGTTGAATTCAGGGTTGCATTAGCAAAAAGCCAAGGCTAAATTCTGTAATTCAATGACAATGACAGCGCGTCGTCATCGAAGGCGAAGCGAGTTGCGCTCGTCAACTTCGGCATTTGAAGTCGTTTCAAGCAAGTGATTATCTCGCTAAAAAATATGGCCATTTTACATAAATATAACAGAAGAATATATACATACCTTCTCAGTTTGAATTGAGGTAGAGAATATAACATTTCTTGTTTAATTTTGCTTTAAAGTTTCGAGCAAGAAAGCGATTTTACTGAATCGACTTTGCTTCCATGACATTGGCCCACGAGGTTGAGAACTGAATATTTCTTTTCACTAAAATGACAAAATTTAAAATAAATTTAGCTCTAAAACATTCTGAGTATTCTATCTAAACATTTATCTAGTAATTTAAAGTAAACTAGCGAAAACCGAGTCTAAAATTCAATGTTTTTAGGGACCGGTCATTATTTAAGGTGGGGGGTGGCACCGAAGAGAAATGTTTTTCGTGGCAAAAATTTTGCCGACCCAACCAAAAACTCATTAAGTTGCAGACTGTTGCAACATTGGCACTCCCCAAGTTGCAAGGAAAATGGCGAATTTTAGTTACTGTCAACTTCTGTCAACTGCTTTTACAAAAATACCCATATCTCAAGATCAATGTTATAAAAAACCTTGAAATTTGGCAGGGGGTTAAAATGATAAATGATTAATCAATTCTATTTTAAATGAGCTCCCACACTTAAATATATCATTAGATTTTTGGGTGAGAATTCTTGGTTTGTGTAAATTTAGTCTCTGACATTTTGTTTCTTTATGACACCCAACATCTGAAGGGCAATAATTCAATAACCCAACATAAATGGAGAAATATTTTTTGATTCCTGGATTGGTACACATCTATTTTCAAATTAGTTTTCATCTTGTGGGGTATAAATTACAAAATAATGAAACGCTATAAAAAATTTTCATTTTCAAAAGGTGAGAAAATTTTAAAATATTTGAGGTGTTTTCAATTCTGACTTTGACAGCCGGCATTTTCAAACGCAGCGTGCGGTGACAAAACAAAAGGCTTTTTATTTCGCTATTGAGAGCACTGAATTCGTGAAAAAGAGATAAATACTTTTGAATATTCATCAGGTAAGAATTTTAACTGAAATTCCTTTTGTTTCTGTTGAGAAAACAACGGATTTGTGGCTAAAACGTTGTGCGCGCCAATGTAGGTTGCTATAAAATGTCAGACAGGCGGTTTCTTTTGAAATCTGACTCTAGTTTGAAATCTGACTCTAGCTTGAAATAAGTCCTTTTCAAGGACCAATTGTATAAAAATATAATATGTATGCTCAAATAAAATGAATAATCTAATATTTAGGCATTTTAGATTGCTATAAAAGAGTGAAATAAATTATTTCATCTTTGGTTGTTTGTCAGACGAGAATAAACACATTGGTGACACTTTGTTGCGCATGCAGTTTTCAAAAGATAAACTGCTAAAAATATAGCTTTTATTTCACCAAATAGCAAAGTATCTTGCAGATATTAATAAAAGAGCTCAAGCAAAGTAATTCCATGATAAATAAGTGAACAATGAGACCAAAAAAGCGACTAAATTACAATTTTGGAAAGTACATAAATTTAATGGCTTCCCGCAAAAGAAGCCATTTCAGAGGAGAACGGCATTTTGTAAACTACTCTCCTGACCTATTTTGGAACTTTTCCTTCAGGTAATCGACGAGTACTTCTTAGAAAATGAGCGTACATTAATTTTATGATGTGCTTTATTGATTTAAAAATTTTATGGGGATATATGAAGCAATAAAGTGTATTTTAGAAGCTTTTCAAATCCCTGTCATGAATGTTCAGAATTCGCACGCGCCAAGTAACGGCATAATTCAATACACTGATTTTAAACCACATTATCTCTGAAATGAGAGCTCGTTTCGAGACAAAGTTTATAGAAACAGATATAGTATTCATTGTAGAGTATTCTACTTAGTTTTAATGCAGTTTTACTCGAAATTTTTCTTGCCAAAAATGCATATACGCACATGACAAGTTGAACCTACTGTCTTCTGAAAGTACTTTGGTACTTTGGCAACTTAACAACTTGAGCAAGAAGACCAACAGTAGGGTCACGAAAACAGTCGAAATCATGCCATAAAATGCATGAAAAGTTCTTCTAAAAACTTAGTTTTAAACTAGATTGAACTTGCTTTAATGCTATATCGAATTTCATGAAAACATGCCAGGTATTTTCATTCAAAAACACGCTCAAAAAAATCGTAACTACTCACTTGGATTTAGTGTTCATGTTTCTAGCGATTTCCCACTTCGCTTTTCCGTTAGATTGAAAGAAATTGCTGTTTTTCTGGCTGAAAATCGCGCGACTTGATTTGGACAAGAACTTGACTTGAAACATATGCACACTCCCTTATGTTTTACAATATATTTTATATGTAAAACTCTTTAAAAACCTCTTCTTTTTCATCCTTAAAACTTGCTGCAAAGTCCCATCTTGTGACACTTTGCGGTTGTCACAGGTTTTGTAAAAAAATAGAGTTTTAAAATCGAAAATCTTCGCAAACTTTTGATCAATTTTCTCGCATGATGTATCGTTTGAAAGCCCGAATTTTGCACTTTATACTCGTGACCGTTGCTAGGCAACCCGATAAACACGCGCTAGACAATCGTGCCCGGAAGTTGACGTGTCATCCAGGGCGCATGAGGGCGCAATGAGACTTACCCCGTTCCCAATTCCAGGGCGCATGGGGGCGCATGGGGGCGCAATGAGACTTAATGAGTTAATTGCGTGATTGGAAGATATGAGTCTTCAAACTTTGCCTTGCGCAAGCTTAAATACCACCCCTCGAATTTGTAGGTTCCGAACGGATTAGCGTTTTTAAAAGCCTTTCAAATCGAGGTTTGAGAGGTTTTATTTTTTAAAAGATACTTTGATCTTCATATTTTCACATTAACTTATTAATATCCTGTGTAGCAAGTAAACAGGACACTTCCGGGACCGGGACAAGTTGACATGTCGATTTCTTGCTAAACAGCGTGGCGATCAATATGGTTTGTATCTAAGTACAGGGAATTTTTAAAATTTTGTTGGTATAAATGGCCCAAAGAAACTCATCAAATATTTGGACTATGGACCTTCAAACTTATGCCAAGTATTTATTTGATTGATTAGCTCAATAACTGTTTCTAGGCTCGTTCTTCATCGATTTCGACATTTTGTCAACTTCAGGATAATGTGTCAACATATTTGCGTGTTGCAGCCTGTGGACATGAATATTTTCGTTTGTTTGACCATAAAACTTGTCTTCATTGTTTTTAATCCTTGATTGACAATATATTCATTGGTCTCAGAGTCCTAAACTTAAGGAATATGGATGTTGGGACAGAATGATTTTGTTTAAAAATGTTGCTGTTCAGGTATCAAAATTTATGGACATATATGAACTTAATTGTTTTTACTTCATCTGGCTCACTAGTCACAATTGGGCCCTGTTCATATTACCTGGCTACGTGGGAGACGACATTTGCCAGTATGTCCTATCCTATCCTGCTACTATCGGCTTGGCTAAGCGTGAGGTTTCCATTGCCAGAATCCTGGCTATATGTAAGCCAAGAAATTCACCATATACAATAAGCACTGTATCCCAAACAGGCAACATGATAGGGTTCAAGCATGTGTTCTGGATAGCCTAGATCATATAAACAGGTCCCCAATAGATCCCGAGACTATAATTGAAACATTTTAGTCCATAAATTTGTGCATTACCAGAATACCTGTACACAAATGAATATTTTGCGCATATTATATAATAATGCAATCCAATATTAAGCCCCCAGTAACCTTACAAATAGGCCTCCCTTCCAAAAATCAGATTTCTCTTCCAAAAATAAGCTCTCCCTGTTAAGGCTGCCTCGTACCCAGGCGTCTCTTTGTAAAAAAACAGTGATGCGCATATGATGAGTTTACATGAAGTATGGTAGTGGGGAGAGATGGGCGAAGGGGCTAATGGGAAGAGTGCACTTAAACCATACTTGACAGTCCCTTCGCGCGTCGCATGCTTGAATACTTCATGTATATTTATTTAAAGCGCCTGGGTACGAGGCAGTTTCAGGGCTAGTTTGTCATTTGCCTCACAGGAGTCAGGCTAACCTGGCAAGTGTTGGCAAGAAATTTGTGTGAAATGCTGGTTAATTTGTTAATGGCAACAGCTTCAGAAGGCTTATATTAAACAATTTCTTACTTACTTGGGCCAAATTGTATATTATAACATGATTTTTAGTTGAGTGAGCTGGCCGGTTGGCCATCTTATGACCTTTATTAGTGTGAGACTCCCAATGTAGGATATCAACTTGCTCAAGCAGATGCTGGGCCAATAAATTTAACCAGGCTCTTCCATATGAATGCAATCTCAAACATATATAAAATTAATATACGAGGCAGTATCTTACCATGAGCAGGTGTATATTTAGCCCATATAAATGGACAAGACCAGCTAGCCCGGTGTGATATTATGCTACTGACAATACCTGGTTGATTCTACATTCTACATCTGGGATAGAATGTTTACTGTAAATGGTGAATTTCTTGGCTTGCATAGTTGGCATTCTGGCAACGGATACCTCGTGCTTAGCCAGGATAGTAGCAGGATAGTATATCGACAATACTGGCAAATGTTGTCTCCTGCCCAGCCAGGTCATAAGAACAGGCCCCATTTGTGACTAGTGGGCCAGATTAAGGATGAAACAAATCAGGGTCCTATGGCTATGCTATGACTATATGTCCATAAATTTCGATATCTGTCCCAAAGTTATCCATCTTCCTTAAGTTTAGGACTCTGAGATCAATGAATATATTGTCATTCAAGGATTAAAAACAATGAAGACAAGTGTTATGGTCAAACAAACGAAAATATTCATGTCCACAGGTAGTCCAGTCCCAGACCCTATTCTCGCCACACGGCGCGGCGGAGAAGGAGGGTCCAGAAGAATTTGCATGCGCATGCGTCAACTTGTCCAATCAAAACGGTTGCGATTGACTTCCGGGAGAAGGGAAAACCCTTACACCTGTTAAACGCGCGCGCAAAACGTAAACAACTCAGAGAAATAAAAAATGTCAGGTGAAGTTCGATGTCGAATATGCAATGGAGTCTGTCCGCCCGCTAGGAGATATGTACTTTACAATGCAGAAAATGATTATACATCAACAGCGATGCTGTTTTTCAAGGCATATGGTCTGTCTATTAGACGAGACAAGCCTGGATTGTCTCGCCATTGTTGTCGAAA